GATGAAATTCCTGCTAAAATATGTTTCACAGTTATCCTGTAATTGGTGGTTTTTGGCGCCCCCTACTGGTTACCTATAAATTGGATGAGAAACCAAAAATTCCACACAGTTGGTTCAGCGCTCTGTTGTGGTAAGTCAACAAATCCGGTTCTCTTCTAAATGGTGTTGGAGGTTTGTTCAGGAGGGTGACTGGAATCTTTGTTGCATTGCACAGAGCCATAGGTTGACCGGTAGAGAGGCTCACTGCGCCATATGTGTTTTATCAACCACTGATTACAGATTGCAATAAATCATCTAAAAACCAACCAACCGGCCTCCGAGTGTGCATAACAGGACGGACGGGTAAAGACAGAGCTGTTACTGTCTTTACCCGTAACAGCTCTACATATATATATATATATATATATATATATATATATATATATTTTCCATATTTTTTCAGGACAGTAGCCATATATTGGGTTGCTGTTATTGTAAAACAGAGAGGGTTGGCCAGTTGGAGCTTTGTAGAAAGGACACACCGAGTAGCTCCTGTAACCCGCGCTTTGCGTTTTTTTTTTTTTCTTTTTTTGCGAAAATAAATATGTTGCACCTGAGTTGGGCCATCATTTTCACTTTTAGCAAAGCCAATCCATCTGCGGTTGTTGATTAAAAACCGTAAAAAAAAGTTAATGGGACATGAATAATTCTGCTAGACTGAGGGATGCACAACCACCAGGGGAATACTCAGCACTGATTTAATCCTCATGAGCAAAATCCTGAGCATCAAAATCTGAACGCTTAACAATTTCCACTGCTCAGAACGTAACTTTTCCAGATGGAGGAACCAGTGGTTTTTCTCTTCTTTTACCAAATATTTTTTGTCAGGGAAAAAAAAAAAAAAAAAAAAGAAAACCTGATGCTCTTACTTTGGTAAAATATCTGAGCTGACTGGTATTAATCTCACACAGTTGTTGAAATTGTTTTCACATTAATTTGGCTTTAGGTCCTTTCCTAGCCCAGGACTGTTTGGTTTGGGAGAGAGAGGAGGAGCAGCAGGTGTTGTACTTCAAAGCAGTAAAAGTCCTCCATACTTTAAAGTGTCTGACCTGGAGGAATAATTTATATAAATGCTCATGTATTTTTCAGGAAAGTTTTTTTTTTTTTCTTTTCCTTTATGCACACCAGCATGTGACTCAAACACCTATCAGGCATGAGGTGAGGAGCTTGATGTGTTTTGCAGACCGCCGCCTGGGCAGCCACCTTCCCCCCCTCCCCTCCACCCAACACCAGCGTCGGCTCAGACTGGACCGCGTCTCCAGAGGTGTGCTTTCCTCATCAGGCAGCCAGCTCCTGTCGCTCCGGCCCAGACAGGAACTGCAGCCGTCACGGAACGGGCTGAAAGCAGCAGCAGCAGCAGGTTAAGATCACAGCCGAGGTAATCAGCCAAAAATCTTTACAAGCAGCACCCAGGTGACGGGTGCAAAGCAGAGGTGTTCAAGTTTTTTTTTGCCCTGAGGGCAAAAACTGGCCAATTTAAACCACTGGAGGACCACAAAATTCATTAGATTAAAAATTCAAACATTTGTGTTAATGTCAATTTTTTTTGTTTGTTACTTTTACCTGCTCAACAATAAACACCATTCTTTTTTTGTAGTAGTAGTTTGTATAAAATTAAAGACCCAAAACATAAAAATGGCTTTGGACTGTTGCATAGTTAAAAGTAAAACAAACATTTTTTTTTTTTTTTTTTAACAAAAAAGGTTCAATTATTTTTACCATCCTTGGCTTATATTCCTGGGCCGAACAAAATCATTTTAAGGGCCACAAATGGCCCCATGGCCACACTTTGAACACCCCTAATGTAAAGAAAAAAGCAGCCCTGGACAGCAATGTTTAGTGTGGAGGATCACAACCACTATTTCTGCACACTGGCCTAACTCCATCCTGCTGGTCCTATGGTGATGCAGAGGTCGTTGTTAAAATCTGACCATTAAATCAGATGACGATGTCAGCTGCTGTAGGTGTAATAATTCAAACCTGAAATGAGAAACGCAACCAAAACTGAAGCTTTGTGAATAGAAACAGTGACAGTAACGGTTCTCCCTATTAGTTTTCACTAAAATTGTGATTTCACTTGATGTGTAAAAAGCCTAAAATGACATCACTTCATCACCAACAACACCTAAAAAATTTAACTAAGCTAACTTTTTCAAACTTTTCCACCTTTCTAAGTTGACCAGTGTCTAGGAACTTTTAAATTAGAAGAATTTCTTTTTCCCCTCTGGTATTGGTACAATATGACATGGAGGATTAGTTCTCCTTACTGCTCCTCAAAATGGGCAAGACAAGTCAGGCATTTAAGTAGCACAGCTGGGTATTGATCAGCTACAAGGACACAGCTACTCATCTTAGTTTGATTATATAATCCGAGAAATACTTACGAACTAGGCTGAGTGATACCCAGAGCTAAAGACACGATCTCTACAGCTCACTGATGGAAAACTACAGCCTCAGCCAATTATTTCATTATGTTTTTATGCATAATTATAGCCGAGAAAACAACAAATCATCAATCTCAGCAATAATCCATCACCGTCCAGGGTATTTAGTTTAATTATAAAGTGGAAATGCAGCAGGAAAATCAGCATCATCTGACCTGCTGAGATTTTGATGTTTGTAGCAGTCGCTCCGTGCGCGCCGTCCAGTTCCTGACACCCCACGCCGCTCAACTGTGAGTGGAAATTGATGTGTTGTCTCAGATGGGTCTCCTTCCTCTCACTGCAGGCAGGCCAGACTCCACAGACCTCTTTAACCCAACCGCTCACATTACCAGAAGCCCTCAGCCATACACTTCTGCATCGTCCGCTCAGATAAAACGGAGAGGTGACGGTGAGGTCAAGTTTCCCTGCTCATCGGTTTGCCCAAGTTTCACAAAAAAAACACTACAATAAGATATCTTATTGTAGTGTTTTTTTGTGAAACTTGGGATATATATATATTTAAAAAAAGCATGCAAAATTTAACAATGGAAACTTTAACAAGATGGATGCGATCCGAATCTAAGCGGCACAGATTGGCCCGTTGCAGTGATGTATTGTGAAATTATCCGTCTTTTCTGTATTTTATCTGATCTGGGTTTCTTTCAGCACTTTTAAACTAAAGCGGCGCTCTAAAGGAAAACGATCTCGTAAAGTTTTGTGCCGTATCAATAAAGTTTAAACGGGGTCTTTTAATCAAGCTCCCTGAGGAGCGTTGATGAAAAGCTATTCTAAGGCAACGCCTCGCAAGTAATGTTAATTGATGAGCGGGGCTTTTCAATTAGGAGTGCAGAATGGAAGTAGCTCTGAATCATGTTGGGAAAGGGGAAGCTGTTTTGCTCCAGAGGATTCACTGGGACATTTTTTATTATTTTATTTCAGCCATTTTGAGCCACTTTTGTCAGGTTTCAAAGGCCTTGATGAGGCTAACCGAGAGCGTGGTGGTGGTTGTCGTATGTTGTGGAGAATATGTCTTCATTTGGGCGCCGAAGCTTTAGCTTAGTAAACAGAAAACACTATTTGTATGCAGTTTGGGGAAAATGAATCCCTCATGCCATGATATACTATTAAAATGCCTATTTTTTTTCTTCTATAAAATACAACCATATGGCAAACTGATGTTTCTAAACATACAACTTAATTTTTTTTTCCAAACAGTTTTGGGGAACAGCGTGTCCTTTTTCAGAACTTGTTCTCAAGTTGTTAAAAGTTAAGAGAAGTTTCAGGTGGAACAAGTCTCCCCCCTGCTGGTCGCCCCATGAACTGTAGTAAGACGTTTTTAAGTATTAAAGTGAAGCACACTATTGTCTGCAGTAGACCCAGTCAGTTTATATAGTTTCTATATTCCGTTACGTAATATGGAGATCTATTAAAGTAAAAATTAAGAAAATTTACTTTTTGTAAGCAACTAGCAAATCTGCAGTAACGACTCACTTCAAATATTGAAAATTGCCTGTAAAAAGCGCAAAGCTTGACTAATTTATTAATTAAATGACATTCATTCACATAAATTGCCTTTATTTTCTCAGAGCAGCTTATCAATATAATGATTATTTGCTGTTCCTCTGTTCTTTGTTTCATCTTAAACTCATTTCTGAGATGTCATTCCATAAATGAAGTTTTAAAAGAAGGAGCAGGCTCCTTGGAATAATCCTTGTTTTTTTTTTTTGTTTTTTTTTACATCATAAAGCCTAATAATCAGACTATCTGCATATAAAAAATGTGACTTCTCAAACACACAGTTGTTGATGCACATTAGCGCAGTAATGACTGGCAATCGTGTTCGAATCGCCAAGAGAAAGGAAAAAACACGCATATTGTTCTTTCTTTTCAGGCATATTTAATTGGCACATAAAATTAAACACAATACAAAGTATTCAGTGCTCCAAAACAACAAGCATGGGGCCACCAAATGGAACACAAATGAAAAAGTGCAAAAAACACACCATTTGGTAGGTCTCATGACGGAAAAGAAGTCTTACTAGTCGAAGCAAATAAATCCGCGGTAAGACTGTCCATATAGTTAAAATAGATGTTTTTCCTTTTAAAACTTTTTTTTTTTCCTTTTTAATAAATTCATATATACTCTCTCTAATTCCATCATGTCACATCCTCTGTACAGGCAGGTGATTCTGAGGGCTAAAAGATTTGTGGTGAGGCAGATCGCTGCCGTAAATCTGTCACTTTGCTCTCGACGTTTATCACAGACACAAAATAAACTCAAAAAAGCTTGACGTGATGAGATGGGGGTGGGTGGGAGACTATCTATAGGTCTGCTTAATCACTGCTCCGCATGGGAAGTGTTTATGAAAACCTGCGGTAGGTGGATACTGAACAGAACACAAAATGGTGGGATTTTTTGTTTTATCTTTGCTGTTAAGAGGAGTCTTATTTAGAATATTCCAGAATATTCCAACAAAAATAAGACAAAGAGGAAGAATCTCAAAGAATATAAACAAATAATAATAAAGTTGAAATCTTGTACACTATGTGCCATTGAATATGGGGAAAACGTTGTAGTCTTCCAGTCTGAGAGTTAGGCATGGGTCGGTCTGAGTTTCAGACAGGATGTAACCGAAATGTACGGCATGATCTAACTGCTTCTATCCAAAACTCTTTTGTGCTCTTGTGTCTTACTATTGAGCTTTTATTTCAGTGGAATAAAATATACCTTACTGTGAATTTGACACTGAAAACACATCGTAGCTCTTGTGTGCTTTGCATATCCCACGTGTGGCGCAGCTAAAGAATCACATCGCCATGCTGGGTGCTTAAATTTCAAAGTGAAATGAATTGAGAAAATACTTATATGGCCACTTGGTTAGGCTCTCAGAAATTTTGGGAGTCAGCTAATCTGAAAATATGAATAAATGATCCTGACCTAATGGTAAAAGTAACGTGCCCGGTCCTAAACCAGCAGAACAAAGAATACCACGTTCTTGACCCCACTTCACAAGTACTAAATACAACCATATTAAAAAAGTCTAGCGATAGCAGGAGAAATGGCTTTTGGTCTTTTAGCAAAAACAGAAATGAAGTACAACCACTAAAATCTGACACCATTCCATTTTTATTCACATTTTGTGAAGGAGGAAGTTGCGCTCACGTCTTCAGAAGTTTTTGTGTAATTTCCTTCGGCGACTCATGGTGCAGCACCACCAAAGGCGAGGAGGTAAACGGGTTTGGTTCTTTCGACAGTGCAGTGTGAAGGTGAACCGCACCAGCAGAAAATTTAACAAATGTTCCAATTTTTGTCCCCATTTGAACCGAATCTACCTGACAAGTATAAGAAAGACAGCAGTAGCATTTTCTCAGTTGGCTGAGCAACAGCCTGGAGGATATGGTGGAGAAGAGATGCTCATTATATCTGGAGAGAACTTCAGTCACCTCCAGATTTAAAAGGAGTTTAAATTGTAGAAATGTTGCTAATTGTTTGCAGATTTGAAAAACCACGGCATTCCTTGACACCAGTAATCCGGCCCATGCCTACAGACACTTTCATCGTATTAAACAAATCCGACTACATCTTTTTCGTCCCACCCAGTTAAGGCTCAATTCAGGTGATGATCTGTATGTTGTCACATTTCAGTCAAGAAAATGTTGATCACAGTACATTTTCGTATACAGTAGAAACAGGGATATTTATTTATTTTTCTGAGTTGCCTAAACCAAGCAGAGACATTTCCCACAGGGTGTTGGACTGTAAACTAGCCACAAGTCGCATTACGGTTTTACAAACAAATAGAAAAAGACAAAAATTCACAAGACGTGGCCTATCTATGTGTAAGATCAATCAGAAAACAACATTATGGCTCCCTAACGTCCTCATCTGTCATTACACTTTGGAGCACTGGGAGAAGGAGGAGGGAAAAATCACATATTTGCAGTTAAAAACAAGAAAAACATGCTTTTTGAACAAACAGAAAGGAAATGTACATAAATATATTTAAAAAAAAGTTCATTAAAAAACCACAGGCACTGAACCCAAACAGTAGCATTCAGGTTAATTTAAACAGTGTGACCAGGCAATGAGGGTTAAACTGAACAGAAAGGCTCGAGGCAGCGGCAGCAGGACGGAGTGGGTGGGTGGGGGGTGGCGTAAGCCGCCTCTCCGAGCCACCAGCAGAGGGGGGCGAGGAGGAAGACAGGGCAAGCATGCACCACACCACACGCCCCGAGCCATAGCAAATTAAAAAATAAAATAACAAAAAAAAAGCAAGACGGGGGAGGCTCAAAGCAGCTGTGAGACAGGTAGCCTGAGCTGCCTGAGTGGGGTTTGTGGGGGCCAGGAAGGAGAGTGGGATCGAAAGGGTGTGGTCAGAGAGAGGAACAGACACCAGTGACAAGACATGAGTACTGTGTGGATGAGAGTGACGGGCCTCCAGCCGGTCCCGGGAACCTGAACGTGGTTTGACACAAAAACAAAGAAAGCAAGCAGAAACACGAAAAGAAAAAAAAAAAGATCAGCACCTCCTTCTGTTTCTGCTTGGATGAAACCTGCAAAATGAGTGGTTGTATTTTTAAAAAAATACTTTTTTTAAGGAGTGAAAGGTGAAGGCGATGAGACTGGGATGACTTGTTTTAGGAAGTTTACGGCTTCGTGCGGCTGTGTTTTAAAGTCCCCCTTCGGGCTCCTGCTGCTCTTCCGTCCTGTTTCTGACCACACACTTTCCCGTAATTGTGAGTGCCACAAGGAATTAGGCAGAAGAGAGAGAGAGAGAAAAAAAAAAGAGCCGGGCAATTGGCAGCGAGGGGCGTTTGGAGAAAGGATGCCAAAAAAAAAGCCTCTTCATCGCCGCAAGCAGAGTTAGTGACATTAAGAAGCAAAGCTCTGCTGTAAAACACCAAGGATCAAATTGTGTACTGTCATCTGAGTGGTGGTGGTGGGAGGGAAGGGGGGTTAAAATGGAGAATGTTATGAGAGGTAAAACCAATCTCTTGTTCAGCGGAGGAAGCTCAACACTGCTGATAAATTTTTTTATTTTTTTGTCAAAATGTTTGAATTTCAGCGGCATTCTTATCATCCATCGCTCTCTCTTTCTCAGATATTTCTTTCTTTAAAGACTGAGCCCATCTTTCACTTTTTCACACCGTGGTTTTCGCCGCGGCTGCTTGCCCTGCCATTCCTCTGCCAGCCTCTCGCTTTTAGGAATCTGCAATTTGAAAGAATACACACAAACGAACAAAGAAACAAAAAAAAAGATGACAAAAAAAAAGAAGAAAGTTAGTCTTAAAGGAAAAACTCGAAGATCCCAAATATTTAAATATGGATAGAAGAGGGGTTGTGGTATATGTGAAACTGTTAGAAGTAATAATAATGTGTTATAATGTATGGTGCTTTGCAAAATTATTCATACCCATTCAGCTTTTCCACATTTTACCATTTTACCACCACAAACTTTTATGTATTTTATTAATATACAGATTTTGTGAGCTGGATGAACAAAATGTGAACATAAAAAGTCGTGAGTGGCAACCATTTACATTCATCCCCCTTCAATCTGTTACCTTAAATAAAAAGTTTGTTGGATAACATTAATAAAGAAATGGAACCAGGAACCAGCACTGGATGGACTAAAAACTAAAAATAAAGTTATACAGTTTTAACTTGGCTGAAAAAAATCCCAAACATTTAACTCTCTCTACGATCTAAAGATGGCAGCGACCCTTGATCTGCTTGAAACACCTATTTTACAGAGACTACATAAAAATATTATTAGACTAGCCCCCAAAATGCTTCCATCTGACTGCAGAAAAACATGCCTCAAGTGTTGTCAAGGGAGGTTGAATATAAATGCAAAAGCAATTTTGTAAACCATCATTTTCCTTCCACTTTAAAGTTTAAATTCTCTGGCGGTAATGTGGTAAAATGCGAAACAGGATGAAAAAGTCTGACTTGATTTTGATCAAGGCACTGAATGTCTGTAGATCGACCAAAGATATGTCCGTAAAGCTACAATCATCAGTTTATTTAGCCGTTATCTGACGTGAGTTTATGCTAGCAAGCAGCCACCGCACTTTGTCACAACATGCTAACTCCAAGTCATGACAAAACACTCACAGATGCTGCAGCATGCAACACTCCTCAAAAACTCTCTGGTAAATAAAAAAAAAGTGCCATAACAAACCCTGTGAAAGCCAAACTGAGGCCTTTGTACTAATCTGAGAAGTAGTCAGTCTGATTTGTTGCGTGAAATATTATGTGGCAGTGAAGTGGAATGACAGACGGTGTTGCTAGAAGACCCATGCAAGACACCACGGAGCTTTAAAAAGTCGCAACCTCAGCTCAGTCTCACCATAGAGCTGAGAGTGGCTGATTTCTTTTTCCTTTATTCCTTTACCACTGGCCTGGAGAGAAAGATCCAGAGCAGGCCAACAATACAGTTATCAAAAAGTGAATCGAGAATGTGGAAAAAGAGCAATAAAAAAAAAGCAGTAAACTTGATTACTATTCTTATAAAATCAACCCTCATTGGGAATAATTGGTTTTACATTTCTTGATGCGCCAGCATCTATAATATTAAAGGCATGCAACATTTTTAGAGTTGAGGTCACGGATTTTATTGTGTTTCTATTTCTGATCGGCCTACAAAAAGTAACTGAAGACATAAAATTAATACAGCAGATCTCGACAGCGTTTTGTATGATTGCACATTGAGCACGTTTGTCGTTTGGGTGCAACGAGTTACAAAAACACATGATTCAGACAGTCTTTCAGGTGATGGATCAGACCCCTTGATTAATATTATGATAATTCAAGTCCATATTCTAACATTTAAGATTCTAACTCAAGTGTAATCAAGAGGTTTGTGTTTGAAATGTATTGGTGATCATTGTCAGCAGCTGATTTGTCCCACAGCTTTGACTGGAGGTGTCATGACTCGTGTTGTACGACCACTAGGTGGCACTGCAGTGAAAATGTGCGCCTTGTCCTCACAGTCTTCACACAATGGACCTCAGAATTAAAAGGCACGCTCCCTGCATCAACTGTCGTGAGGCACAGCAGACAAATATGATTGGTCCTTCCCTCTACGGAGACGGGAAGTGCATCTTTCCGAGCGGCTATTAACAATCTATAATCTTTGACCCAGTCAATGGAAAGATATTGATTAAAGTAGCAAAAAAAAAATAAAAAATAAATCTGTCACAGGGTGAGCTTGCCAAGTTAGATGTACGTCATAGCACCTTTGGCATTCGGTTCCAGATTGACCTCAATGTAGGACGTTGGGACGTATCCTTCTTCGTCCTGGTTCCTCCGAACCCGCGTCCAGCCGTCTCCTTTGTCTTCTTCTATGACGTACAGAAGCTCGCCCTCGGCCACGGCGATGGTGCCTTCGTTATGACCTACGCAAGGAGAGAAACAAAGTGGACGTCAGCTCCTTTAAGCTCGAAGGCTTGCAGGAAAACGGCAAGCTGTGTTTAGTTGAAAAGGCGGCCGAAAACATCAATAAACTAAACACAAAACGGCTCTCTGTGCATGAGATAGAGGAAAACAAAACTGGCAGCAGTTTGCATTTGAATGGCCCAACATCGACCTGTTCAGTTATGCAAGAGCTTCTAATTTATCTAGCATTAACGTGTTCCTTAAGAGTGTTTAAATAAAACTTTTAGTGATGAGACGAAGATTGAACTTGTTGGCATTAATTCTAAACAGTATAGTATATGTGGAGAAAACCAAGCACTGCTCATCACCTGCCCAATACAATCCCAACAGTGAGACACGGTGGTGGCAGCATCATGCTATAGGGGTGTTTTTCAGCTGCAGGAATAGGACGATTGGTTGCAATTGAAGGAAAGATTAATGCGGTCAAGAACAGAGATATCCTGGTAGAAAACCTCTTCCAGAGTGCTGAGGACCTCAGATTGGGCTGAAGGTTCACCTCCCAATGACATTTTTCATTAATGAAAATCTGAAAAGTGTGGGAACATACTGGGTTTAGGTCTGGATTTTGACTGGACCATTTTGCCATTTTAAATCTCCAACCCCTCTTCAGGTTTTCTGCAGCCTGTAATAGGAAAAGCAAATCCTAAAACCTTCTTGGTTACCTCTCCAATTAATAATTAATTCATTGAATGCTCACGTCTCGAACTTTATTTTCTAATCAGGTGAGTTATAAAAGAAATGTCGCACTTGATTTTATTTAGTGTTATCACTATCAAAGGAGGTTGAAAACAGATGAAAAACTCACTTTTTACGATTTATTTATAATGTACTTTTATGTTTATGTCTAATTTTCCTCGTAACTTGTGGTGGTCTACCACATAAAAGTCCTATAAATACATGTGCATTGTGGAGAAATTTGAAAGTTATTAAAAACAGCTTAGTTAACAGCTGTGCATTTCAAGCTTTTATGGAACTAAAACAGAGCGAATTGTTCCAAATTGATCTCAATGTCTTTGAAAATAGACATTTATGGAGAAAGTTAAGCTTTGTAGAGTTTGTTATACCCCTAAAAACGCAAAAATGACAATTTACTGCTGAAAGGCTGGACTTGAATAAAAGAGCACAATGAGACTTTGCACCAAGGCATGAAGGGTTAGAATTGGTTGGAATGCAAAACATTTGAAATGTAAAATAAAGGTAACCACTAATATGAACAGCAAAATGTTTCTTTTTGATGTTATGTCAGCAGTCTATAATACAGACCAACGACAAGTAGATGCATCTTTTTTTTTTCAGATGACTAAAGCTTCTTTTTCACTCTTAGGAAGAATTTAACATTTTTTGTGAAAGGAAGCCAATAGAATTTCACCTTTACCAAGTGGGATTTTTGTACCAAACAGCTCAGGATAGTTTGAAAAAGAGGAAGAGAAAAAGGTCTACTTTTTATTCACATCCCTCCTCCACACATTTCCACAGAAACATCACACCCTCCGCCTCCTCGGTCGACAGAATCGTGCATGTCCACATCCTTCACACTTACATCATTTCCACAAATGGCAGGCCTTTCCCGGCATCCAACCAATACCGGTTATGTGTGTGTATCCCCAAACTATATCTCACACTTCAGGGCGGCGTGTTACCTTCGAAAGGGTACAGCGCTTTGCAGGTGCCGATGGTGGCCAGCGGCTCGTCGTCGTCGTCAAATTCCTCGTCGTCCGGCATGGTGGTGGGGATGGTGTTGGGGTTGGGGGTGGGATTGATGTTGGCTTTGACCTGAGTTTCTGTATTCTGCTCCTCTGTGTAGCTGCCATCCGGGCTGCTCAGGGGCCAACACACACATTAAACATACAGTGAAAACATTTGCAGCTTCCTTCCACACACAAAAAAAGAGCTTCATCTGATTTTTGTTGGGCACAGGACTCATGTTTGTCTGAGTATGCCATACCTCTCTCTATCTTGCGCACAGTTGTTGCTCACTGCTATGTTGCTCTGAGTCTCGTAAAGTCCGCTTCTACGGTGCGAGTCGCTCTTCGAAGGCATCCTCTCCTCTACTTCCGCTAACCAGCCCTGAAAAACAGATGCATTGACTCAAAGGCGCTATCCAGAAATTTTACACAAGATTAGCGAAACTTCATAAAAAAGTTGTGTAGGTAAAAGCAGGAAGTACAGCGGAGTAAAACTACTTCTAAAAGTACAAGTTATTCAAGCAAATGTAACTGAATAAACTAGTCACTACCCAACTCTGTTAAATGTATAAAAGTTTCTGATGCGCAATGACAAGAGGTTGAAACAGTTTTGCATACTCCTGCAAGGCATTATGGTGATTTAAAATGACGAGTTCCCTTTTTAAATGAGGCTGTTGCCGACCGCTCAGTCTGCATCCACATCTTGTCCTAATATGGACAGGGTTAGCATTTGGACCGAACCCAGCTTTAGCGCCTCATTTTTTTACTGCTCTGAATGTACAAACATCCCCGCTCCACCAACATCAACACTGAAGAGGGCTGAGAAATGCGTCTGGGTCTGGACTAACCTCAAACTTCTGCACTTCAGCCTGGAGCTTCTCGATGCTCTGGGCTATTTCCGTCAGCCGGGGGTCCACGCTGGTCGGGTCGCCCATCTGGGGGTTCTTTATGTACACGTCTTTCATCTTGGTCAGTGCATCCCTGGAAAGGAGGAAGCAAATCGAAGTCATTGTCGTACGGATAAAAGACTCAAAATTCAATGTGTTTTTTTTTTTATTACTATTAAAAAGAAAAACCTCTGGTCCATCTCTTTGTGAATATCTTTATTGAGGTCGTCAATCTTGCCCTGCAGTTTCTTCCTCCTTTGCTCTGGTGGCAGATGACTGAAGTCCTCTGGTCCAGATCCCTAATGGACAAGAAGAAGCAGGAAAAAAAGGGAGACAGAAAGATAAGGGGACATAAAATTTCGTAAGAATACAAAAAATTGGCAGTCTACCATTTGTGAGCTGCTGTTTCCAGAGTAACCTTGTCTAGGCAGATGCAGTGTCTCCATTTACCAAACGCCAGAAAAGGCAACGCTTTTAAGTTCTGGTCCAGTTACACGGCTCGGTAAAATGAGACACTGCAGCCGCTCTTTAACACAGTGAGAACTAAAGATTAGATGTTTGCCTGTGTAAAGGCTTTTGAGGACGTTCACCTGTTCAGTCGCCACTTCTAATCTAGCGCTCTGAGAATGTGGCGGAAGTGTGAGTTGGCTAATGGGTTTCAAACTGCGTGATTGCTCTCTGACGGGACCAAATGCTCCTGATGTGGAGGTTAGGGGAGTGTAGAAGGTTTTATGATCATTTCCAGTCTGTATTATCATTTTATTAATTTTTTTTGCTGCAGAATGAGTCACAGTGGAGAACATTATGTCAAACTATTCTGGATAGATTAAGTCACAATATATGAAGCTAATAAAACATAAAAAAATAAAACAATATAAATTCTGGTGAATTTTTTTTATAGCATGTTCTCTGCTTTAACTTTTCATAAATTAAAAGACCTCTCTTTTTAAAGACAACTTATATTTTTTGATAACTATCAACTTCAGAAAATTTGTCATCATTTTTAAAAGTAACTAATTTTCTGTTTTCAAAAAAAATAAAAACAAACTTGCAGAAAAGAATACTTAAGTCGGATGTTGAAATTTATAAAAAATGAAAGAAAGCACAATTTCCAACTTGATGACAAAAAAAAACTAGATTTAAAATAACAGTATTTGTAGTGTCATTCTGTCATGGAAAATCTATTTATCACATAAAGAAAACCAGCATTTGTTATTAAATCTACATTTTGCAACATTAATTTCATGAATTGATTCTGTATAAATTCAAGCTAAAGTTAAGAGCCATTGTGAAAGACCCAATGAGCCACTTGGGGCCTATGGAGCCACAGGTTGCAGACTAGTGGCTTAGACCAGGAAGGTAAAGATCCAGGAGGATCGAACAATTTAACATCTTCTACAGAGGAATAGCTAAAGTTCTGTTTCTCTGTAAAATGTTATGAAACAAGACTCAAACTATAAGCAAAGGTGGGTTGCACAAGTGCTAAATAATTCTGTCACTGTTGATTCAGTGTGGACTGAAGAGGTGAAGGCTTGTGGTGGGTCTCTCAGGCAGCTGGAGCTACACACTGGAGGTCGATTACAGCAGCTAGATCAATACAGGAACCTTACCCTTCCTCCCCGTATCACCATGCAACACTTAACCCGGCATGCAACATAACAAACATCCGTCAGTTATCATGCAGGGACGCCATGCGTCTTCATGAATTAGAGCTCACAAATCTTCAGGATGAAAATGCTAAGATGAGGTTTAACTCTATGTGCTAATTCTAAAGAGATATTTGGTCATTTTACATTTTCTTTGGACTGAATCTGTTGGTTAGATCGTTCTGCATGGAATCAAACAACCCAAAGCATCACAGAAACTGGAGTCCCTTTTGAAGTCAGCTTAAAGGAGGTCATATTTTTGGGGGAAATACATTTTCTTTTCAATAGTCTTGTTGTACAAAACACTCAACTCCCCAGTGTCACATTTTAGCATACAGGTGTCCTGAATTTGAATGGAAGTCATTACATTAAAATGATAGCTATGACATCGGGTATAGTTCAAGTTTGCATAACCATTGATTGCTTCCACTTTTTGTCTTGTTACAACTGCATTGAGACCCACACAAAGTATTTCATCACTGAGAAGCGATACTCAAATATTTATGCTAATTAAAATCTGAAAAGTGTGGTTTGTCTGTTCGTCTCATTTTCAAATGGGAAGCATTGTCCCGAAGACGTTAAAAGTGACCCTAAGGACAGTAGACAAAGCGTCATGATGAACATAAGCTGGGAATAAGATGGCAAAAGACTCAATTTCCTGTATGCTAAATATATGGATAGAACTGATTTCTTTCCTTTTTTATTTAGAAATGAAAAAGTATTTCCCAAAACTGTTTTATTAGAAAACAGTTTTGAGTAGAAAATAGCATCTCATTCACAGAAATATTATAATCAAGTTGATTTTCTTCGTAAGCATGCCCACCAGACGAGGTTTCTTGTGTTAGAAACGTTTCTTGTGTTAGAAACGAAATACTACAAAAGTACCAGCATGCAGTGTGAGAACATGAGACGACACCTTCTAATTTCAGTCGGATTAGTACTTGTTACGGAGATCTAACAATTTGCTCCAGACAGTGAGGATTACAGGGGCAGACTAACGGGTAAAAACACAGAGTAAATGTGATCACCTCAATGAGACTCCGGACGTGGGAATTGAGTGTGATCTGCACCACAGACACGTTTCGGGAGAGACAGGACGAGAACACAACCACAACGTAAACAAAACAAAAAAAGCACAAAAACGACAAAAAAAATAAAATAAAATGGCACACAGATGACATAAATTTCAGGTTCACTGTTATGTCGCTGCAAATTAATTTCACAATTAACTCATATTCAAAGCAAAAACAAACGGAGCACAACAAAAAGTAAATTATTAAATTGTTACAGGGCGGGGGAGGTGACATGCGTGCTTCGGTCATGCCTCTAGTTTATACGGTCATGCTTACCAGCTTGAGAGAAAGCTTCATGGGAAGGGACAGGGGAGAGAAAAAAAAATGGCGAGGAGCAGGAAGGGAGAAAGAGACAACAGATAAACGTCAGCACCAAGTGAAACATCACAGCCATTTGTTCTCCCAAAACAAAAAAGAAATAAAAACACTTTACCTTCATTTCATAATAATGCTGTATTGTGTCAGACTGCACCACATGAGGGAAAGAGAGCACTGAACGATTTGACTTTACTGAAAACACAGCTGTGGCATAAATAAGCCCTTTCAGAAATTATTTGACTTATAAAGCCTGTCCTCTCTTTTCCAAAGTGGTGAAGTTTAACATTGATGTATTAATGGAACATGAGAGGTACAACAGCGGGAGGGGGGAGAAAAAAACGCCCACCTACAGCATGGAGCATGCAGAGTGAGATCCATTTAAAGTGATGACAGATGAATGCAAACGCAGAGATGAGAAGTAAACAGAGGTGAAGGGATTCGTTTTGTTTTTTTGTTTTTTTCTTTTACTTGTCTGTCACGACTGACTGTTGATGTAGTGACACACAGGGGACAGCAGAGGGCGCCAAAAAGCCAGTGTTCACATTTAGCAGGTCTGCGTGTTGACATGGAGGCAGCAAATGAACACAGACAGGCTGGAGAGACTTGGTCAAATTCACAGTTGTTGGGAAGAAAAATTAAATTACACATGAGAATAATTATGAACTGAAATTAACAGAAAAAAAAGAGAAAGGATTTAACTCAAAGTTGTTTTTCTTTTATATGTATATATGATTGGCTGAGTGATTTGTGGAGCAGGTACTGTTGGGGTAACAACCATTGGCTGGTAGAGCTGGAGCAGATGACTTGTAATCCTGTTACAGGCTCGCATACTGACAAGCTCTCATTAGTCCTCTAATCAAGTCATCCAGCTGGAATGGCTTGTTATGATCCTTACTGCAAAGCCCTGGAAGACTCACCTCACCTTCACACGCATTAATTGCTCTCACATACTCCAAGAGATTTCCGGATGTCGGTAAATCTACGTCGCGTATGTCATTTCCAGTTTAAAAACGCCTGCTGTATTGGTGAAATGTTTCAATGTGGTCACCATTGGCACGAATATATTACTTTAAGGCCTTTAAAGGCGCATTTGAATTGCAAATGAAAAGATTCAGACACAAACTACATTTAAAACATTTGCATGCTCAGATTCAAATTTGTTAAGTCAAACTTGTACACGACAGGGTTTCCTCTAGGATTTTTTTCAGTCATGGCAGTGGGCTGACTGGGGAATTGGGTGATTAATATTATAATCAGGGAGCCTTCACAATACATCAGAAACATTACGCATGATGGCCAAACTATATTAATTAACTGTGTTGCTGTCGTTCAAATGTAACTCGCATTACATTTAAATTCCTGATTTAAGCTGCAATTTATGCCCATGAAACTTTTCAGCGGCAATTGCTGCAACAGTATGAGCAACTAGGTAAATTATGGCTTCAGTGGAAATGTAAAAGGGAAGTTGTTGACAGGTAATTTAAAAGTTGGATGGATTACATGGACAAAAAGTTGTGACATTTAGCTTTCAGAGTGCATCTGCCTTGCTTCATGTGTTTAATGACAACCTATTACATCCTGAAGCTTTACGGTAACTGATTATGTAATAAGTGCTGCAAATATTAGCAATCAATGTGCAACCTAGCATACAGTTTAACGTTTACTTTAAACTCCAGACAGACACATATATACAAGTATATCATGGCTTTTGCAGACAGACAGCATTGCTGTAGTATGGGACACCAGCACACAGAAAGCCCTGGAGGGGTGAATTCTTGGCACTGCGGGCTGAAGCCTGATCCAAAGTGTGACTAACACCTTGTCCAAACATGCATCTCCACAGGACGTTTATTTAGCACACAGTTGGTGAATCCTGAGCGGGATGGCGGTAGCCACACATCCCCACATCCACAATCTCCGCACATCCTCAGGTGCTTGCGACACTTTGTGAATTGACCCCTTTTTACAGATACGGAGCAGGGGGGAAGCCCTCCACCTCCGAGACAGCTGCAGGACACTGCAACACCTCAAGCTGATAACATGTGATGAGGGATGAGATCATCATCTTCTCCGATCATTCGTCTCGATCCCGACATGTGACACAGCCATGTGATGAACACGGAGCCAGATGCAGACACTAGCCTCCTTTGTGAGGTTGTTTTGCCTCATTAATCGGGACCAATGGTCTCCTCACATCACTTAAGGAAAAAAAAAAAAAAAAAAGAGGCTACTGCCTGCTTTTCGTGTGGCCTTACTAATCACACACACGCTCGCTCTCGATACTCATTCGCTCTCTCCGCAGACATGTATAAACGTGGTGGGATACTCACTGTCTCCTAACGTAAAACTCAAAACACGCACACTTACAACATATTGCCTTGCTTCGAAAGCATATGTGGGTTGACCCAGAGTCCTCTTCATGAGCTCTTTGTGATAAATGAGCGAGCGCGGGGACTGCTGCTGTAGTGGCAGTCAGAGAGAGTAGAGCTTAAAGTCAGGAAAACAAGACCTTAATGAGTGCTTGCCTTATGAGATGGCACCTAAAGCACAAACCTGCTCTTTCTACTTCCGTAACAACAAACATGCAGTGACAACGGATGGATTAGATAGCTTGATATGCAGCACACAGAGGGCTCTCCTGCAGGGGGTGCACATCTTTCCACTGTGCACAACTATCCCACCTCCACAGGCGCTTTAATCTCCAGTGTAACACTGTGTTCTCCTTGCAGGAAGCGGGCAGAGAAACAAAATCGTTCCTATTGACTTTCATATAAACACTGAATAATACTAGAATTGGGTGTTGAAGCTAGATCTGTCTTTGGTCAATTTCTCCACAAAGGTTTCTTTATTATAAAGATGTTTCTAATGGCATTAAAGGCAAGTAAAGTAATATTTCTTATTTCATATAAACATTTAAATAAATGCGACATATACAAGGTAGCAGCCCACAAAAGTGATGAATGGATTGACAAATGACAATTGGCATCAGTGTTTCACTACGTTTTTGCCTGGATCTACACCGTCCCATCACATATGAAAAGCTATTATGTTCATAAAATCGTATTAGAAACATATTGTGCTTCACAGGGCTACATTTTGTTATTCTTAAATGAAATAATTAACAAACAGCTTGCTGAACTACCCTTATCCAGCACCTTATAAAAGTGTTTATACTCCTTTAACTTTATTCCCCCATTTTGTCACCTTATACCACATACCTGATTTTGTTTTACATTCAATTATATGGGAAAGTTTCAAAAATTATAAAGTTTTTGTGGTTTGTTAAAAAAATAAATAAATAAAAATAGTGATTTTCAAAATGGAAAAAACAAGCTTTGATTTAGTAACAAGAAGTGTGTTCGCACCTGTAGCTATAAAGAAATGTTAGAACAGATTCTGCCACTGAGATTTGTACGGTGTCCTCCAGGGTTAGTTTACAAATTTCCTTAATAGCTAATTTTCTCCCAAACAGAAGGTCTTTAAATTACAACAAAAAAAAGTCTAAATTCAACACGTAGCTACATATTGAACCTCGCCACTAGACGAGAAAGTCTGAAAACCTTATTTCCTTTAACACCACTCCAAGCCTCCCCAGGAACCTTCAGCTTTCTAATTCGATCACTTGAAGATCCGAAAACAATGCCTGCAATTTATCTCTGATCTTTTTTCTTTTAAAGTCTCTCTTCTTGAAAGTTGTTGCGGCACTTCCGCTTTCGGAAGAACGTGCACTTCCTGCTACATGCGCCCAGAGTCAGAAAAACTACACACTTCCCTCTTCTCTGCGCTCCCTACCGTCATTTCCTCCTCAGTGATATCCACAACCCAGCCTGTTGTCCCACGCTTGTTCTTTTCCAGGTCATGTTTGCATTTAGGTTTTTACTGTGGGTACACGCTGTCCTTTTAAGTCACGAACACATACAAAGAAAAAAAAATATGACAATTGTTTGCCCGGAAGGAACATTAAAAACGACCGCCTTGTTCCTGAGGTCAGGGAGAGCTGGCTATGGGAGGGAGTGGTCGCATGACAGGAAAGTAGCTGTGACCTTCCCTAGTGACCGTCACCCAGTATCTCCACTGCAACTCCAGCTAGGACTGTAGAACAGGAACTGGTGGTGACATAAACCAGGACACCGGGTTGGTGCTGATAAAAACCACCCACCTAACAGCCTTTCTAAACCTCCTCTCCTGACCCTTTTCCATCACTCCACTCTTATCATAAACTCACGTTCTTTGTGTTCTGTCTTCCATATCTCGTGCATCAAAGCAAAGCTAAAACAATCTGACTCCAACGTAGACTGCAGAGTGAGTAGCACAGAGGAGGTGGGGGGGAACCACTGCAGTCTCCATGCTACCGCCAGGAACGGCTCAGGCGTTTTGCATATTTCTGTCGGAGGAGGAGGGGGGGGAGCGGGAGAGGGAAGGAGAGAGGGTCTGTCGCTGTGAGCGCAGTTAATATGAAATGTGAAGGGGACAAGATGAAGAGACTGTCGGTGAGTCAGATGAGTAACGGGGACTGGTGACGATGCACCACAGAAGCACACAAGTGAAGCGGAGAAGCTGAGCACTGCATGAGAGAAGCTAATTACAGGATTTAAGTTCTTGTCAGATCATTTCAAAAGTTGTTTTCAAATAATACACAGTCAGATTGCATTGTTTTCAAATTGGCATAATAAAACTACTGTGCTTTGCAAACATATTCAAACCCTTGTAATTTTTTACGCATGAAAAACATTTGATGTTGTAACTTAAGGTAGGGCTTAACTGAAACGGTGCATAACATGGGAAAATGTTTTGTTACAAGTGAAATAATCCAGTGGAACTAGTACTTTTTAAAATAAATATTAAGGAATTAATTACTTGAAACAAGCTCCTATATCTTGCTGAAAAGATGCATGTAAGTTTGTTTTGTGCTAAGATAATTACAATAGAAACTAGACCAAAAATACTTGGTAAGAATTTGTGTTTTTGCAGTTTACTAAGTAGGTGATTTCTGATTGCACTTAATTTTATTTAGGGGTATTAGTATAAAAGAGGCTGAATACAAATTAAAAGCAGATTTAATTTCATGAGAAAAAAATTTGTAAAATCTTTGGAGCATTTTACTCCAGAAATATCTATAACTTTTTTTTAAGTCTATTACGAAAAAAAAAAAAAAAAGCTGTAATGCAACAAAATGGGGAAAAATTCATCGGGTTTGAAAAAGGTTTGCATCGCTTCGCTCATACAGTGCAGCAGGTGCAGAGCTCAGGTACAGGTGTGGACACACACGCACTCATATAAACACATGCACAAAGCTCGCTGGACACACACTTACCCCTCGCCTCAGGCTCCGGAGGCAGTGCATTTTGGGTTTGGAGGCCATGAAGTCGTTGAGGCGGTGGGAGAGGGGCTCCTTGTGCTGCTTGGGAGACTGGGGGTCGTTGGGAACAGCAGAGGGTGAGGGCAGAGATGAGGCTGGGGGGGCAGGTGGGGGCTGACGGGGGGACGTTAACAGGGAGATAAGCTACCAGTGTGAGAGGGAGCCGTTTCGAAAAGGAGAAGGAAGAAAAACATGGAAGAAGAAGAAGAAGGGGGCGAGAATCCAACGAAAAAAAGACAAAGGAGGAAAAGGAGGGAACACAAAACGAAATAAATAAGCCTCCTACAAATATTAAAAAATAAACACAACAAAAAAAGCCAAACAGAACGTAAAAGACAACCAAAGGAATGCCAAACCCAGTGTATGAGTGCTTATGTTGTGGGAACAAAGTAACAGTTAAAACATATAAAACCAAGCAAAAGATAAACTGTTAAAAAGAACAAAACGATCAGCGTGAGTTCAGGGTGCAAAGCAAGCAGCTGCGACAAAGCAAAGAGTTTGAATCGAAGCGCATGCCGGATTCCATTTTAGAGATCCTTTCTCTGCGTTTTTCTTTTTTTTTTTTTCTCTTCAATCAAAACGGAGTAAATTACTACATCCCAGAGGAAATTCATCACTGAATCTCAGGTCATCAGGAGACAGAGCTAATTGTGCCTTTTTCTGTCCTCAAACCTCAGACCAACTGGTTCAGATGTGAGACGATGAAGCAGTGACAAGTTTCTAGACACGATAATGCACATGCAGAGACAGATTACGTAGACAGAGTGCTTTTGTTTCTTTTCAATTAGAAGAAATTACTTGCAGCTCTTTTTGTGTGTCTGTTATGCCTGCATGCAGATATTTGTGGTGTTTAAATCAGAGATGCACAGAGAAATTGGTTTGTGATCAGAAAATACTGATTTCTAGCTTGACTCAACTTGTCAAACTCCAAAAGTCTATATTTTTTCGGTTGGTGAACGCGCCATCGCTAAGAGCTAATAGGCTAAAAACAATCCTGTTACTGAGTGAAGAACAATCGGCACATTTTCAGCATTGTGAAGATTGTAACAAGCTATTTAATGAAGAATTTTTTTTTTTTTAATTAAGGTTGTGCTGAGCATTCACTCACGAGAAAGCAGGACTGTCAGCAAATAACAGGAAGACTGAGCTTGTTCCATAAGTATTTATGTTTGGTCTTTTTAACTTTCGATCTCTCCATGTATGATACTGACTACTAGATTTAGAAATTATGGTGTCTTTTGAGAAATTTTGTAATTAAGGTAACAATGAACATTGTCTAAGGCGGTGCTTCTCAATTCCGGTCCTCAGGCCCCCTGATCTGCATGTTTTAGATGTGCCTCTGTACCAGAACAGCTGATTCAAATGATTGCATGACCATCAAGTACTGCAGAAGTCTGTTAATCACCCGCAGATTCAATCCAGGTGTGTGGCAGAAGGGAAACACTTAAAACATGCAGGGCAGGGGGGCCTGAGGACCAGAATTGAGAAACACTGGTCTAAGGAATATACACAGTTCAGAGATATTGGTCCTGATCACAAATATTCTGGTAAATGCAACTAAACTGTGCATTACTTTTTCAGGCCAATGGTGAGAAATCACCTCTGTTTCTATAAACAGTCAGTGCCTCCAGAAGAGCAAATGTCACTTTTTGTTTCTTGCCAAGTCTCAGCCTTTCTTGTTGAGATCAAGAAAGGCTGAGGAAGCAGGGTGGTAGAAGTAAGAAATGCTGTCACCTGCAGGAGGGAGTTTGCAGGTTTCTTTTGTTTTGTATTTACTGTTTGTACTTTTTTGTGTTTATTGATAAATTTGTTGTAGTTCGGCCATTTTAACCTTGTTTTTGTACAACCTTTGTTTTTAGCAAGAGAAATTATCCATTATCCAGGGACGACGGATGAAAAATATCATTTTGGCTAATTCTGGCACATTTACAGAAATGTTAATTAATGTTTTAGTGCAATGTTTCCCCAGGATAAATTGCATTTCTAAATTAGAACCAATGTCTTTGATCATTTCTGCACAAAATTTCCAAATAGACTCACAGTTATGTACCGGCATGAAAAAACTCAGGTATCTGTTGCTTTTACATGAATTTCCACGATTGTGCAGTCTTGAAAAACTGGAGGAACTGAATAGTTAATGACCACTTGTATAGCTATATAAGAATCATGTCTCCCAAGTCAAAATCACCTAAAATCAACATAAACGGGTAAAAGCTTTACAAAAACCAGACATTGGCCACAAAAACTCAGACTGGTGCATCTCTAGTTTAAATACCTTTCCATAAGGTTACATAGAGTAGATCACACTAGTGTCTATGATTTTTTTTTTTTTGGCCAAACACACTCACACTCATACACACGATTACTCAATTACCTTCTTGACTACTTTAATTATTAACAGTGCTACCAGCCCATTAGACAGCCAAAGGTCAGATTAAGAGTTCATAAGCCAGAACCAGAGGAAAACTTCATGAAACTGATGACCAGTGGAAACGAAGAGGGTACAAAGGAGAGTGTTACTTCAGATTGGACAGTGGGTTATCATCTGCCGGTTGAGTCCGCCCATTGAGCAAAGATAGAAATCCATTAGTGTGTGTTATAAAAAAAAAAATTAAAAAAGGGGTGGCCCCAACATCGGTGAGGGTGATTGCGTGGGAGGAGGAGACGGGTGGCAAATAATAACAACCAAAAATGGCAATAGTAACAAAGAACTAGAAAAGAAAATTCACGAGCTTAACACAGTGAACAAATATCGAAAAGCGCTAAAGGAAAAAATGCAAGAAAATGATACACTGCAATTAGTGTAGAAAGTCTAACTTGTACTAATTAATTTTCAGGTAATGAGAAAAAAAAATCTGAGATGCCTCCAGCTTTTTGTTCCACTGTATGCTCCAAAAAGAGCAGGCTGACCTCCCGGAGAGAACAATGCATCGAAACGAGTGAGGCTTTTGAGTGTAGCTCCGTGCTTTACCTTGTTCTTGTTCTTAATGAAAGGCCACAGTTTGGGCTTGCTCTTGCCAGCGGGCTTCTCTTTGCCCTCTTTGGCGTTGGACAGGCTGTTCTCGGACACCGTCCTCTTCATGGCCTGACCGTAGTCCTCGAACTCCACGTCGCTCGGTGGCTCAAAGCCAGACTTGTAGGACTCCACCACCTGCTGGGAGTCCTGGAGGGAGACAGCGGCCGCACTGGTCAATGAAAGTTGTGTTTTTATTTATTTATTTTTTTCTTCAGAAATTTCAGACGTCGCCATAATAACTACATTTTAAATCAAATATGAGCATACTCATTGCATTTTCTCTCACTGTCTTTTTTTAAGTCAAGCTAAACTTTAATGAGAGACTATTTTTGGATATTTGCCATGCTTCCTTGGAAATCAGATGTTTGGATACATTTCCTAACTATTTGGTAGAATTATATAAATTGTAGGGTTTGGGTCAAATGTTTGTGGTTTCCTTCCTGAAACGTCTCACAGTAGTTTGCTTGAATTCTGGCCCATTCCTCCTGACAGAACTAGTATAACTGAGTCCGGTTTGTAGGTGACTTTGACACCCATTTTCATTAGTTAAACCCTATTTTTTGATATTGTTGGTTTTAAGCCACTTGGTAGCTAATTTGGCACTATTTTTAGTGTCGTTGTCCACTTGAAAAACCCATTTGTGCCGAAGCTTCCACTTTCTAGCTGATGTCTATGGATACTCCTTCAATATTTCCATATATTGTTCTTTCCTCATGAAGCCATCTAGAACTTGTTTTCAGTGGTGGACTTGTGGAGATCCACAGTTTTCTTTGTGTCTTGTCAGATTTGTTTTGATGCTTTTTCCAGGATGTCAGATGAAGCGGTGTGTTTGAAGTGTTGCTTTACACTACACAAACAGGCATGTTTGTGTAAAATGTTGTGAATTAAACTTGCAAAGTCATAGCATCACCATCTGGGCTTTCCCAAATTATCATGGCATAGTAACCACAGTAGATTTAAACCTCTAAATTTAAAGGAAGTAAAGATATCTCTTAAAGATTCCAACTCAAAAATATCTGAATTAGACTGTATTTTTCTTGCTTAAAACACACACACACACACACACACACACATCCTAAAAATTTAGTTTGTTGGGAAAAAAAAAAAAAAAAAAAGACGGAAAACCTCCAGGAACACCATCACTGCGAACCACAAACACAGGAAGAAGCTTGTGAATCAGTTGCAACAGACAACGAACTATTGGAGCTGATAAGACAGTCTGTCTGGAGTTCAACAGGATCAAGGTTTGAAAATCTGCTATCTCCTTATACAGTATGACAGAAGAATAATACCAGAGTGGAGGAGAGACAGAGGAGGAAGCATGTGATATGTCATCCTCAGCCATTGTTTACTTCAGCAGAACAGTTTCAGGCCGGAGTTGTCTCCCTGGAGCTCACTCACGATGGGATCTCTGGGAATAGTCACCTTTTTTTTCCCCGTCATACACCAAGCACCTAGTATATGATGTCCTGATTTATGACACAGTTATTTTTTTTCAATATTCAAGTTCTAGAGACCACAAATTAGTGACAGAACTTCAGCCAACAAATACGCTCTGGCCTTAAAGAGATATTAGAGCTGAGACACTTTCCAACACGATATGGTGACCAGAAGACAACGATGGCCTTGAATTTGACACAGAGCAGAGACACAGAGCAGATTTTACAAACTCAGCTGTAACATAACATCCGTCAACTACAGACTCTGTTAAAAAGTTCATAAATCTAAAACATTTAAAAAATGTCCCTTTAAAAGTGCCATCTACTGCAGCTCGATACTGACTACTCTGTTCATAGAATCCAACTTTCAAAGATCCAATGAGATGGACTTCTAGAAATAAAGTTGCATTTTGAACATCTATCACCATATCTCTTTGAATTTAATTCTAATTAATACTTTGGCAAAAAATGGTAACCACCACATCTGATTCGGCTTCCAAAATAATCTAGATAGTTTGGAGCAGATCTGTTCCATAACTAGAATTATTTCAAAAGCCGATCAAAAATTATGTGAAAGTTTCTTAGCTTTGTATCATTTAGTTTCATAAGACATCAATCCCTCCTCTAAACAACTAATGTGAATTTAGGGCTTTGTTAAAAATTCCCAATCTAAAAGCCAAACCCAAGATAATCCTTCTGGCATCATACAGTCCTTTTTTTTTTTTTTCAGTTCTTGGAAAGCTCTCCCCCTAAAGGCACAGAGGATGTTCCCAGACGTCTTCTGCTACGATGTGGATGTCTCTTAATCACAAGTTCAGTGAACTTTTTCTGCATAATAACAAGTGACCTTTTAGCTGAGACCACTGAGTGTAATTTTTAACATAGAGAATCAGGCGCATTCTCTATGCGCCAAAACACAAAATCTTAACCAGTAGTTTTAGCCTAGTTTCTAGTGCAAATGTCTTAGAACATGACATAAAACAAAACTAACTGTTTTATGTCAGTTAGTTTCAGCAAAAAATAGGAGTTTGTTTTAAGTCAGTAATTCCTTAATATTGATGAAAAGTTACTTGTAAGTTAGTTTTGTCTTATTTCAAGTGTACCAAGATATTTTCACTAGAAACTGGACCAAAAATACTTTGTAAGATTTGTGCACAATCTATTAAAGTTGTTAGTTTTCTTTTCATAAAAAGAAGAGCGTTTGCTCATCCACAATAACGCCTTAAAAAGTTCCAAAATCACCTTGTAATTCACATTTTATCTCATTCTAAAGCACCACCCAGAGTCCAATTCCACTTGCACACTTCTTGTTTTAGTGCCACCCTAACAGACAGTGTGTGGGTTGTAACCGGCAGCCTGGTTACTTAGCCTGGTTGAGAGAGTAATATGCCCCACATGGGGGCGTCTGTGTGCACAGACAGATGACGCCGTACACTCACAGTCTTGGGCTCGATGGACTCGGCGGCTGTAGTCATGCCGTCTAAACATTTCCCCACGATGGGCAGCACTTGGCGGTCCACCTCTGCGAACGTCTTCATGCACGCTCCTATTCTCTCGATCCTTTTCTCCTCCATGTCTTGAAGTTTCTGCAATTCAACGCAGGTGTGAGGTGACTTGCCCTTGCACGCGGATGCTCGTTTATGCAGCTGTCATGTCGTATTTACCTGAAATATGTTGGGAATTATTGTGTGGTAATGATCGTTCTGCTCCTGGTTGAACTTTTGCAGGTAGGACGAGTAATCGCCCTTGCTGTCAGAAGCCATCTGGTGCCTCATCTGAGCTTGCTGTCGTGCCTGCAGGATGGAGAAAATAAAACAAAAACAAAAAAACATTACACTCAGACGTGAACAGTGTGAATATCTCTTTGCTAATCCTGCGTGTTGATATGGATGTATGGGTTAAACACAAACAACAACAAAAAAAACCTACATTTCTATTTGTGAGGCTGGGTCACTGACAAACACATAAACAGGAAGCACATGGACCCACAGAGACAGGTGGAAATCCATGTCAGGAAGCGGCTGCGGCCTTAACTGTATGTAGGCCAGAACAAATATATATATATGATTTGGATTTGACTGCCTGCCCTATCTGGCCATGATGTTGATTATTTTAGGCTAGTTTAGAGTAAGGGAAGCAGGCAGACAGTCAGAAACTCAGCAGGAGCAGGCTATTACTGACCAAAAGGGAGCAGATGGAGATGAGATAATCTCTGCTAGACTGTGTGGTGTTTGTGTGTGTGTGTGTGTGTGTGTGTGTGTGTGTGCGCGTGTGCGTGTGTACATGCTGCTAAGTACTCATATCTGTTTCCTCTTTCCGTCAGCTCTGGAGCCCATCCACAAATAAATAGTAGCTGGTAGTCCACAAGAAGAGTTACCTTAGCAGCCTGTGATTATGTCTTAACCTCTCACAATAAGCAATTAATTGCATGATTAATTGAAGTTAGCTTGATAATTTACATCTGATGATTAATATTTTGTTATGGTTTCGATTTCAAGTGGTCTTTATCTCTATTTTATTTATAATTTTTGGTTGTTGTGTCATATTTTTGGATAGCTAAAATATACTCCAGTTCTAGTGTGAAGTGATCTTCACAATTAAAGTTTATTGGTCTCTCAGAGGGCAAACTTGCTTTACTACACAATGCAATACATGACTTGAAAATAGTCTCAAACTGACAATATTATCATTTATCACAATAAATACTGGGACAATTTATCGTCCAGCAAAATTTGTTATTGCGAAATACAAACGTATATTTATGAAAAAAGAAAAAAAAATTAAAAAAAATGCATAGGACAGCTGAGGATACTGATACTAGAGATTAATCTTTTCCAGATATCTATGAGAAAAACTAGACATAAAAAACTGAAAGGAAAGGTTTTTAATTAGTTTTACTTATTTAGTTTGAAGCTTAGCTTAACTTCAGACACTTTGTGAAATACAATTCAAGACACTCAAGAGAAAACCTTTAAGTTAATTCATTTAAACATTTAACATCTCAACTTTGTCGATAAAGAGGGTCATTTTTCAGACAGCAGGAGGTGAAAGTTACAGTTACATCCGCTTTAGAGGGATATGAATACCTAATTTCATTTCGTGGCCCACCCTTCTACCACATTGTGCTGTGTATGCTTCAATTTTCTTTGTGTGTGTCTTTGTAAATTAACATAAAAGCATTCAAAACAGGAGGGGAACATATAACACTTAAGTGAAATCTACAGAATAGGATATGTGATTTAAAAAAAAAACAAAACTGGGTAAGGTTGCTAACTGTATCTGCATGTGAAGCTGAGCTGATGTAGGTGCACGCAAACAGTGCAGATTGTGCTTAGCAACGATGTTGTCATCCCGGTAACAAGGCAGGTAGCATAACTCTGAAACCGGCTGCTGCGCTGCAGCCGCATCACATCCTGTTGTCATGTTCCGGAAATGGCTCGCTTTGCTCTCGTCTGTGTGCAAGTAATGGTTGAAGCCTCCATCCATCCCGACAGTGTTACCTTTCACTACTGATTCGCTGTGACTTAATTTCTGTTTTGCACATATAAAAAGGCTTGCACGGAAACACGTTCAGCAGAGGACAGCGTTCAAAGCCACTGACAGGACAGGACAGACCTGGCTCAAGCTGTGTGGGCCACAAAGTCGAGACAGTGTGTTTGCGTGTCCGCCACAAACAGAAGCTCTCCGCACGCCGGACCTACCTTGTTCAAGCCTCGCTTCAAGGCGTGGCATAGAATAAATACAAACACAAACAGAAGGATCGTTAGCCGTCTCCAGCTAAAACAAGATGTTGCCATAGATGCGCGTTCTGAACCACAAAGCTTGCCATCACTTTAAAGAGGAAGTTGATGTGCAGTCATAACAACCGCTCACAGTAAATACTGGCTTTATTAAACACAGATATGGGCTTTTGGGGGCTCTTACTCATATGTAACAAGAAGTATAACATGCTTCTTTTCTTTTTAGTTAATAATTTGGGATACTATGTCATTTTGTGAGAGGCCCAGAGGTAGGCGTGGGGGTGTGTTACTAACGGACAAGAGACAACCTTTAAATTGTCTGCGCTGGAAAAGCCAACCCCAAATCGAGACATTTGCTTCCCAGAGGTTGGAAGAAAACAGCAAGAGCCTCTTCAGCTCTGAACAAAACCTCAAAAACCTCAACTCAACAAACAGCAGCTCTTTTGCACAGAAGAACCACATCGGATTTCAGGGGGGAAAAAAAAGCTACTTCTTCTGGAACATTAACCATCCATCTGTTTCCTGAACCTGCTATATCCTGTCATTTACCACGGGAACTATATATGTGTGCAAAATTACACATATTTTCTAATGACAAAAGATTTTGCAAAAAACCTTAAGTTTATAACTTCCATATTGGATTTAAATTGTACTTGCAGGACGACACAAAAATATTCATGGCCCTTGACATGGTTTTGCAGGTTTTACCAACTCAAATTAAGGCTTGTAAAGACCTGAGCGGCACATTAAATGTAAGACCAGCATAAATACGCTAAAGAAAATAAAAAATTTTATTAGTATTGCCAGCCTCTTTTGACGCATGTAGCATCTAACAGGTTGACAATGGAAGTGAGTCGGTGGCAAAGATGAAAATCAGCCAGCCAGATTTACTTTAGGCGCTTTGCCTGCTTTGTTTATTAATGATCTTTATTATTTCCTTCCCATTTGACAATACTTCCTGTTTGTTGATCTACCTTATCAAATCCTAGCACATTAAATTGAGGGTTGGGGTTGTAACATGAAGAAAATTGTGGTAATGGTTCAAAAGTGTTACAAATATTTTCCCAAAATTAAGCAAAAGATGCAATTTTTACATATTCTGCTGCATAATACTGTTTCCTTCTTTGCCTCCCTGAAACAAATAGCTGTTCTTTTAACCACACACATGCTCAAACACAAACTTTGTGCCAAACATCCAAACCCAAACTAGTCACACATTTTGACATGTATTCTCTCCAATGACTAGTAGCTCTCTAAAAAATGAAAAAAAAAAAAGTCTTTCAGAAGACAACAACACACATGATCTGTTCTTAATCAGTGTTAATAACAGTTGAGCTACTTGGCTTTCAGACTCTGCAGTTCTTGGAAGTGACGTCGATATTGTTTTGCATGGATGCAAAACTGTTTCAGGATTTCTTTTGGGCTGGGCCGAACAGCACTGAGAAATGTAGCGCATAATAAAGGTGTTAGGCTAGGGTGGTAAAATGGCAGTTAAATGAAATGAAAATGAAAACCATATAACTGCAATTCTCTTGGAATCCAAAGCTACCAGGAACAACGAAGACCAGCTTCTCGATGTGCTGCGCTGCATCTCTCCAGAAGAGTTCAGACTTCCCCTGCGTGTCCTGAGTGCAGACAGCCTCTTTCTTCCCAGATATATTTGCATAATAATCACGTCCGAACCGTGTCGGCTCAGAGCCCGAGCCCCGTCTCAGCAGCTGATGGAAGCAGCAGGAGCACGCGCCGCTGACCCATGATGCCTTGCGGGCGTGGGAGCTGAGTGAGTTACGGACAGAGATTCTTGAGGGCTCTTTTAATTGGTCATGACAACAGGAAATGACATCAGCTACAAACCCACGGGGGCCGAGGGGAAGGGACGAATCTGTGAAAACTGGATAGTGACGTTTCATAATATATCTGATGCCATCGAGCTGCACGTCGATTCAGTGTGACGAAAAAGCAACTGCACGGGAGGAATCAACAATTTACCTCGGAACCAACACACACACATACACAAGCGTGGCGTTAACACAGTTGTCTTTGTGACTAAGGCTCATGCAGCGCTGCAGAGTGTTTGGTTGCTTCTCTGCAATGATAATGAGCGCTGAGTTGTGCTACCAGCTTTGTTCAGCAGCAAATCTCTGTGCCACTAAGACAATGCCAGCTTTGACACAGCATCCCTGGCATCAAACACACAGTCACTCAATCTTTTCGTTTTTGTCTTTCAGGCACAGTGGTATGACAAATTAGGGTTAAAAGGTTAAAATTGGCCAAAATAAAAAAAAAAAAAATGAAGGGATGACTTGCATGACTTGATGACACATACCTTTTCCACATCAGCTTTAGTCACGTTAATGTCAGCGTCCATCTTCTCAAAGTATTGCTGTGCTCTGTCTGCCTCTTTGCAGTCCCTCTCAAACCTTCTTTTACACTGAAATGAGAAGAAATTCAATTGAGTCCTCGTTAACACCCGCTATATTGACCTTTAAATGGGCATAAAACGGGCGTCATAACTTCTACGCGTACGTCATGTATATTTTATGTACAGCATTGTGCATCGCAAAGGCTAACGTCCGCAGGCTGAAGAATAAACAAATATTCATGGTGGTCATTTGTGGAGAGAGAGAAAAAAAAAACACAAGCATTCATCCAACCCTCTGACCGAACAATCACTGTTTGTAGGGCCAGTGTGCACTCTGAACTGTGCCTCTCCGCCTAACACACAATGGTATCATTGAGCGCAGAGACAAGTTTGAGGAGGGCAAGGCAAGTTATGCATTTCTCTCGCGCTGTTCGTCTCCCTCGTCAAAGGGGCCAGGCGGAGATCAGAAGTGGTTTTCTGGGATTTTTCTCTTGTAAGTCCTTCACTTAGGCTAGAAGGAATAAAAAAAAAATCTTGATTTGTTTTTTTTCTCTTAATAGACATTCGTGTTTTAAGGAGAATCTAAAACTCTTGCTGAAATAGTTACTGCTACAGTCCTCTTTGGTGATTTGTCTTTCTTTCCTCACTTACTACATGTTATTGATTTTAATACAGTAAATTTAATTTTTGAAGTAAAATCAGATTGAGATCTCACTATGATAGGAAAAATACTGACATCAAATTTCATATCAGATTGTTTTCTCACTTCTTCCTAACTATTTTTGTCACACAGGTCTAGATTAAATGTGTGAGGTGACATGTGTCATATGGTTTTTGATTAGGAATGTCTTGATCTGATCCCAGATATATAAAAAAAATCTCTTCAAACAATCAGTATTGGAGTCCTTGAAAAAATTTCAACTCCCTATGCATGTTTTTTGTGATTTTTCTTCAGCTGTACCCACAGCAAGCAATCTGGCTGATATATAGATTTTGTGTCTTTTCGCCCTTTACAAAGATGCTTACAATGAAAAAGAGAATGTAATGACTGGTGCAGCAACCAGCAGGATAATGTGTTTGGGCTCCACTCTGTGCCAAGTATCCTCAGTTGTCCCTGGAGAGCTGCAGCTAAAACGCTTGTTAGCGAAATTTGCGCCATTCAAAGCAGGAGAGCAATGTTTACTGTAAGTTATATCTGCATGAAATGAACAGGAACCAAACTAAGATAAGTATTTTACAAACACTGAACATATTAACGTTAGCCTCGCACATTGGCAAACTGTTCTGGTTGAAAACGAGCAAAATATTGATTTGAATGTGTTGCTCTTGATGTTTGATATATATTTAGAAACAAATGATAGAGTTACGCTCACTTTAGCTGATATTTGTCAAAAGATTATAGTAACTTTATTAGCCAAGCTAACTCTGACCTGTAAAATCTCCTGTTGAGACTAAATATATTTTGCTGAGAAGAAAAATGGATAATGCAGATAACCTCTGGAAAACTAATCATCAAGAGGGACACAATATTAGGCCATGTAATAATGATGAATCATAGCAAGTTTAGTTTTTTGGAAGTTTTTTTAGGATTATACATGGCACAAATTTTAATAACTTTACGTCAGGAAATGCCTAATCCTAAATGACTCGGCTAAAAAATGAAAAAAATCCCAATGAAGATCTCAGTAAAAATGTTTTAGTCAGAACTGACTGTGGATGTTTTTAATGTTAATAATTCTAGCATGTTTTAAGGGTTACTGATTGTATCCAGGACTGATGTTCTTAGGTTTGTATGGTGGCACAAAGCAGTAGGCTCTCTTTGTGCCACTGTGATGCCACTCTGGTTCGTATCAAACTCTGGCTATGGACAGGATTAAGGTTTGTTCATAAAAGTAAAACAGACTTGAATCAATAAGACATTTAGCATAAATTTCAAATGCATTTTTCATCGTTTTTTTATATGTGGACATGCAGAAAGTCCCATGGGTTCCCTCTCTGCTTGTGGACCTCGCTTGATGTTGCATCACATTAAGGAGTATCTAGTTTAAAGGGTGTGAGCGCTGTGTAGCCTACTGGGGGGTGTTAATAAAAGAAAAATTAAATTATCACATCAAGACATTAAGAAACACAACTTTAAGAGTTCAAGTGGGTTATTTAAACCAGATGTTTTGAAGCCGGCTTTACATTTCCTATTGGAGATTTGACTTCTGTGTTTAGTGAGCCACTTACCGATTCCAGCTGCTTCCACGAGCTTTCAATGTACTGCTGTGCTTTGCGTCCATCATGGAAATGCTGTGGGGGGAAGAATTTAAAGAAATGATTAATGACATCATTCTAATCAGGCACTTTAGGGACTTTCAAAAAGCAGGTGAGCCTGACCTTGACATACTAAAGACTAGAAATAGGAAACCGTACAATACTGCTTTGAATATTATTCATGACAAATTCAACATTCCTTTACAGACTCTATATGACAAATTTAGGTCAGTTTAAAGCAATTAATGTTCTTTTAAATTAGAAGACAGCAACCATTTCGGAGCTGAAATAATGACAGCAGGGAACCAATAATTTTAGGAGGAAAGAGAAAAGTAGCCAGTGATAATTAAATTTTTAAAGCTTCAAAGTCATATGTTTGTACAATGCCTGAAGCAAGGATTTTGCTGCTGAATTGTTGTCTCTTCTCCCTGCCAGGAGGCCATGCATACTTCAAATTCACAGTGATTATTAAAAACCCAGTGAAAGGCATGCACACACTTTTTTCCCTTTCTTTGTATGATCAAAAAATGTATCCATGAATACTTTTAAAGAAGTTCTGCAGCAGTGTCCCTATCCCAAATGTTGCTGCTCACTGTCAGACAGGCTGGCTAAAAAATGCTTTCTGGTCACAAAACACATGACAGTTCAAGATGTGAAAGTAAACTAAATGCAGTCCTGTTGCCAGGGTACTGCTGCTTCAAAAATAAAAGCTGAGAAGCTAAAAGACTGTCTGGCAAGTTGCTTTAAATCAAACCAATTAGATCAGTTTTTCCCTTGTCTGACATTTTGTTATTAATATCATGACATCATGAATCTAAGGTAGTTTTATTCAGAGTTGCCATTAAAAAAGACAACTTTTTTAAGTTTCACTTCTCGACTCATGCAATTTGATAAAGTCACCTAACTTATTTGTTTAGATCACAGTGAGGTTGACGTGATCTCTAAAAATTTCTAGAGCACAAATGTCGAACGTCGGAAGAGAAACCAGCAACAGACGTTTAAGTTTCCCCGTCTGAATTTATTTGAATAACGCTGGTGATTCCCCCAGAATTTTGGTGGGGAGTTTATCTGACCAAAATCAAGCAGAACAAAAAACTATTTCATTCTTTTAAAAAAAATCCTCTGCCTCTGTGAAAGCAGATAAGAAAGAATAATTTAAATATGTTGGTGTATATTTTTAGTACAGGTTATTTACAAACAACTACAGTAGTCTGAGTTTTGTGTTTAACTTGCTTACGGTGCGGTTTAAGAAATAGGACAGTCGTGCTTCTTTATGAGATGCCAGAATGCTGAATAAATGAAATCAATAGTGGAGGAACCGGGTGGAGTAATGGCGGTGGACTCATGGTGGATCTTGGCACTGCTGAGTGTTGCCACACAGAAGCAGCTGCTGGCTTAAACTCCCACAGAACATATGCTGCGTTTCTTCACAAAGCCTCATTTGGCTTATCTCAGCCCTCCTGTCCAAAAGGCAAACCACAACAATCTCCAGCTTTCTGTGTTGACCACACGACTTTAGAAAAAAAAAATATATATGGAAACACAGACCATCCAGATCCAAATCTCAAAGTACTTGCTTTCGGATCAGTTTGTGATTACTACTAAAGCATATAAATGTTTCCTTCTTGTCTTAAGTTTGGCAAAGAATTCAAAAGCCTACACAGGCTCTAGGCTGTCAATGGCGTGTCCCTTGGTTACACACGATGCGGTTGCTGAGCTCAGTAGCTGAGCTGAATGTCGATGTCTCTATTCAATAACTTACGAGCTTGTGGTTGGGCTTCAGAAGGAAGTTGGTAAGAAACATGAAATCAACAGTGAGGTGGTGGGGCGGTAGGAGTTTGGGTTCTCACCTGATAAATACTGGACATGAGACAAGTTTGTGAGTTATGGTTTACCTCTACTAGTCATACTTCTCATTTCCCAAAGATTTAAGGGAAGTTTTACAAAAATGGGAAGTGCTCCTGTGTTTCAGAGGAAGTTTGTGAAGGTCTACCAGAAACGAGACTTTTAGGCGTGATTGAAGTCGTGAAGTCTCTGACCTTCACCTTGAAATACCTGTTAGATAACGGTGGTGCTCTCGGTGCTTCGAATTGATGTCTTACGAACCGATGAGTAGATAAAGAGACGACGCAAAGACATTGCTGTTAATGTGGAGCATTTGTTTTTACTAAAAATTTGTCTCCATAACATTGTTTGTCTATAACCTTCCACCATCTTATTTTGCCAAACAAAAAAAACTATGTAGAAGGTCAAACTACGATGACAAACAGCAGCAACAGATTTAAAAATGTTCACCACACGATGAGCAAACCAAACCATAGATGATTGAGCTTACTTTCAATCCCATAAAACAGACCATCAACCATCTGGGCTGCAGGTGTTTTTTTTTTTTTTTTTGCGACGGAAACACTCACTTATCTTCCAGATGTTGGCTCCCTACATTCATAGACTCTTGAGATAAATTTGTCCTAACCTCTTGTGGTGAGTCTTCCACTCATCTTGGTCTGAAACAGCACAGGACTGCTATCAGCCCTGCTGCTTTGAGCTGCCCAAAGTAGCTAAGTATCTCAGTAGCTGGAAACTATTCGGCAGCTTTGATCATCACAAAACCTTCAATAATACTGTCCTTCTAGGTAACCGAGGAAATAACCATGTTGAGCAAAAACAAAAAAAGGAAAAAATCTGATTATTTACTTTTTTAATATGTGATATGTGGCTTACCACCCAGGTACAACATAAAACATAAAAAAGTTGTCAGCTGGAAGTTTTCTACTGCTGATCTGCATGTATATTTTCATATAGATTTGACATAAACACTGAAAATATTGTTGCTTGTTACGCTGATTAATAGTTTTCATTTTTATCAAAAATAACAGGATATTTTGGTTATTTTTAAGGAGTATGGACTGCATTTGATTAAATGTAGTACAAAACCATAAATGTTTTCACTGATAAGGTCTAAACTGAATGGTTTTACACAAAGAATCTTTTTAATTTTATGTATTAAATCACAAAATTTGCACTTTTTTGGCATTTGGATAACCATGGAGATATAAAAGCATAATATATAAGTATTATTCTGTCAAAAAACTTTGACAGAACAATTCCAGGTTGGGCGTAAGCGACAGAGTTATAGGTTGTTGTTTTTTTTTGTTTGTTTTTACTCTGTGTATCTGGGTGTGTGAGGGGCTCCAGAAGGAGGTGCTCGCTGCACCTATAAACTGTGGAATGCACTTTGATCAAAACAAAAATGGATGAGTTCAGTGACTTGTTCTGCAATCTTATGCATCTGAAGGTAAGGAATGCTTTCCTGTTGCACCAATTCTGGGTTCGCTTCTGTCGAGAGGTGACCATGTTAGTCAGTCATTAACCTGACTTGGTTCATGAGAAGTCGAGAACATCGAGCTGCCTCCAGTCATGTGAATGCAGAAACTGAACAACTATGTTTTTATCAACCTCAGTCTAAATTAAGGAGTGAAAGCAGACTCTATGTTAAGTTTCAGAACGTTCTAGTCATTTCAAATTAACCAAATGCTGGAACAAAATATTAAGGAGGACTTAGAAAAACTCTAGTTGGAGCAAAATATCAATGCAACTGTTGGAACAAAATAGAGAGGAGAACTGTGAATCAGCACATTCCAAGTCTTAAATGATTCAGGTAAGTATTGGGGGGGCCAAAAATCTTGAATGATCATCATAAAATATCAGAACTAATGAGAAGTGTCCGACTGTTCAATGGTCTTTATATGTCCCTCCCTATTGGAGAAGACAACTAAGCCCCGGCCAGGACAGCAACATGCTGACCGAACACCTTATTATGATTCCTCAGCACAACACAGTCCAGTGGGACTTATGTTCTTCATCCCATATTAACCTCTGCAATAGTATTCATTCATTTATTAGCCAATGCATTCCAAAGGCATACTGTTGTTATTGTTTAAAGCTCTTAATTTGCATTGTAAACCTGGCAAGCAACAGGCCAAGCTATAAAGATCACAAAAATGTTTCTCCGTCTCACCTCCACCCTGAGATTAGCAAGAGGTTAACTTTGCGAAACAATCAAAAGGAAGCAGGAGAGGTTACACAACAACCCTGCATGGCAAATTAAGAAGGTACTTTTTCTCCTTGTATGCTTGAGGTGTAGATTCCACCTGACCAATAAGCAGCCTGTAGAGGCAGCAGTGAGCAGGCCAGACCCCCTGACTGTCTGGGGTCTGGGCTGCACAGCTGTGTCTGACATGTACACAGATGAAAATACCAGTAGGTGCTTCATCACACTTGAACATCAGTGGGAGGAGAAAAAGGAAACCAGTGAAATGAAGGGAAGCTGGCGATACAAAGCATGACTGTTTTACAGCAACCATTCAGGGTATCATTACCACTTTCTCTACAGTACCATGAATGCACTTACTGTAAAAGCCAATGTTTTCTTTATGACTTTTAATCAAGCAAAGCCTTTTACTAATAACATGAACTTCCTATTCTAATAGACGTTTCTACATGATTCCGTTCATTGGTGGTCTTTCAAATGCCGGGGCCTATGTTTTCTATGTAAGGACCCTGTTCTGAGTATGACTGAGAAATTATGTGCTTAATGTCTCCAGATGGAACAACTCTGTATTCAGGGAAACACCGGCTAGCAGAATGGATACAGCTGAGACGAGACACATGACACTATCAACAGTATCAGCTGCGAGAAAACATGGTGTTCGAATTTTTAGGAAAACGGGAAGTAGGACTGGTTTTGAAATGTTATAGTTTCAAAACTGCAAGAATCTTCCATCATGCTATTCCAATTGTTCTCCTTTGTAAGGTCATTTCAAATAGATTCCTGAGAAAGTGACCAAAGCTTTTTCTGGTTACATGCTGCATAGAGTAACTCTGCTAACTCTGTTCCCCGTTACTCATGTTGCTGAGCACTGCCAGTCAGTTGTTAATAAAAAAATTTAAAATTGTATTCTCTACTGCTCATAAGGTGGAAACCCATTACTTTTAATATGCTAAGCTATATGCTAACCAACCAATTGCAAGTTAGCTTATAACTTATAGTTTATTGCCGTATCAAGCTAACGATAGCTTGTTTAGCTACCAAAGAACAAAAGGGCATAATATTTTGCGAGATAAGCACTTAAAAAGTTTGAGGGTTTATTTAAGATTTAATTTCATCTTTGTATCAAAATAATATTTAAATGTCGCTGATTTCATTATTATGTGATTATAGCTAACAATAACACTTACTGAGACTGCAAGCTATTCGCCCTTTAAGCTAACCGCAGGCTCAGTACCAGGCAAATAGCCGACTTAACCACAAAATATTCAGCTAATACAGATTTTTAATCCTAGCAGGCACAACTATACATACATTTTAAATATATCTACAAGAACTTGGAAAGTCCTTGGTATAATTGGTGTTTATTAATTTAAGTGGGCATATTAAAGTAAAAAAAAAAAAAGAAACAAAATAGGATAACATTATGATAACATGTTTTGTTGACTTAGCGACCACCGTCTTCCTAGTTAAACGAAAGCAATACGATAATGTTAAACTGTACTTTTCTTATGTGGGACTCTGAAACTATAATTAATAAAGTTATAATTTCCAGAGAATATCATACAGGTCAATGCCTAGCTAGCTAGCTAGTAAGAAGAGAAGATCCCAAAAAAAGAGTAAAATAAGACAAAAGAGCAGGAGAATCATCAACAGAGATGAGGAGGAAAATGCCCAATAAAGTGACATCCTGCAGCATGAGAACATCAAAGCTCTATCAAAGGATTGTCTGTGACATGATATGAATGTGAACACAGTATCAGATCATAGATGTGCCAGGCTAATCTAAGCCAGGAGGATTCCCCTCCAAATGGGCTGGAAATCCCCTTTTGCCTTTGCACCAGCTGCATCTAAAATTAATTTAAAAAAAAAAAGGGGGGGAGGGGGGGGCTTGTCATTTTTCAAATGAAGAAAGACCAACTGCATCAGCCTTGATGCAAATTAGTGTGTATACTAAAAAGAAACGTCCACATCACCATGCCTTTGAGCAACATTCAGGTTTTCCACTCCAATTCCCTGAACTGGTCCTCAAAGATAAAGAGCTTATGACAGATTGTTTTTAATACTGACTTTTTCCACACGGCTGCCTCCCTCTCTTACATAGTTCCACTATTAATCCTGCTGTTTTTAGTGTTGACTGACCACCAAGTGTCCAATGTATCCAATGGAGAATAAAAGAAGAGACGCTTCTGTAAAAGCTGATTTAAAAAAGTAAAATGTGGCTATATTGTTAGATAGAAGCCTGGTTCTATAAGAAGGACTGCATCAGTCACGTTCCACTCTTCTGGTAAGCCTTTTGGGTGCATCTATATTTACACAGCAATGACCTCTGCTCACAGAGAAGTAAGCATTGAGGGGGAAGGGCTGTTTAATTTCTCATCCCTACAATGTCAACCTTCACGTCAAGAGAAACTAACTGCAAAAATACTCACCGTTTTCCTCTCAGCCTTGAGCTCCTGCAGGTAGCGCGTAAGCTCGACGAAGATTTGGGAGGTCAGGTTCTCCGCTATGACCTCGTGCTGACCTGCGTAGTCGTTCAACTCATTAAGGGTCGTGAAGAAGGCTCGACAGAAGGAGAACCTGGTGAGAAATAAGAAAGGATGTCAGAGGCAAAATGGTGGTCGAACACAGGAAAGTGGAGTAGGAGTTTGGATTTCATCGGAAAGACATTTCTGCTTTGAAAAAAAAGGAACAGTTTGATGTTAACGGAAATGAGTTTAACTTTCTAGATGAGAACTCTACAGAGTAGTGAAATCAGGACTACAGTAAGAGTTCCCAAGTCAGAATCACGCTTTCACCATTCTACATATCGCTCAGGAAACGGATACATTATTCTTATCTTTTCTCTTCATTTTACTAAACAGTATTAACCAGCCGAGTGCTTTCATATCTCACAAAGGTTTGAGTTGGCATGTTATTCACAGCGCCTTGAAAAAGTATTCAAGTCTCTCATAGTTTGTGGCAAAGCTGTAGAAGAACATAATTTTGTAGTGGGGAGTTTTTAAGGGTCTGAGGTTTGTAATATCTTTTGGATCGCTCTCATCTTTCCACACCTAGATATTGATTTTGCTCTTTCTTTGAATTATCTATACCTGGATACAGAATGCTTGTGAACCTAAGTCTAAATTTATGTTGATGTGTAGTCATATTTTCCCTCTAAGCATATCACTTTACATTTAGGTCAAAGACTTCACATTTTGGCCTCATTTGACCAGAAACCCTCTTCCAAAGTATCCACAACATGCATTGAGTCGGCACCGAGGGTGTCAATACTTCTCCGAGGTACAATGCTTTTTGTTCCACAATTCTTTGACTCACTTGCTCTCTTCTTCTTCCCTTGAGTTCTTCTTGGGTTGATATTTCTTTGAAAGATTCCTGCAAAGACAAACAGATCAGGCTTGTCAGATGTTTGCAGTGTGCAGACACCATTCCCAACGTGTTTCCCCGACACCGCCCTTATGGACCCGCCAGAGCACCCAGCGGTTCACCATTAAATCCTTCTGAGTGCTCTCCACTCCTTCCTCCTCATTTCGTTTTCTCTCTTCGCGTCATAAATCGTCGCAGCCAACAGGGTGGACGGAGAGCAAGTCACCAGAAAACTAGCGGCATGCTTCTCTTAAGCAGCCACTGCCCCTGTTTTGACTGTGGCTGCACATTTGTAAAATGAGATGGGAGCAAGGAGGACGTACAAAATGAAATGTAGAGTAAGCCAGCTTGGGTACGGATTAAAGAAATATGGCACTGTGCCATCGTTGGTGAAACAAAGCTATCTGGATTAGTCTGTTGTCGTGGTGACGACTTTCAGTACCCTTTTTTTAACCTCCACACCACGTTGAAATCTAGGCTACATCATATTATCACCCGCCTGATCTATCAGCAAAGCATAATACTGTATACTGTGCTCTGACAGATGAGGATATGAAGTCAAAATAACCCCCTCAGTTAGAACGCTGCTATCAAATACAAAATGCACAGATCTAAACAATGTTGCACCCTCTACATTCATTGACTAAAAAGTAGAAAAAAACTCCACATTTATCTTTGGGAAACATTCATTCAGGGAAGAAAAACTCCATTCATCAGTTTCCTATGCCTTCTAATTTTGTCAGTGTACTTAGGTAAGGCAAGGACTACACCCTGGACAGGTCACCAGTTCATCATAGGTCTCCAGTTTTTGTACATGTTACTTCTAAAAGACCCAAAGATGACCCGTTTTCAGTTTTGTGTCTCATCCATATCTTAACATTTTTTCCCCAGTGACAGAATATACTCAAATCTAAGAGGGCTTTGTGCAGATCAAATCAAAGTTTTTCAATCACACTCCTCCTAACTTTGCACATCTACATGCATATCCACAGCATGCAGAGACCTGATAACATTCATTGCCGTCTCTGTACAGTAAGATTATTGCACCTTAATCAATGATGAAATAAACACTTCTGCTTCTGTGTCCCCGAAAAGGACTCACAATTCCTACTTTAATAAAAGATGCATGCGTTGGGAACACTGCATGTTGTGCAGAGCGCTGCGTTCAGCATCCCCCCACGCTTTGACTCCCAGGTGGTGTTTGGACTGTTGCTAGGCAGATTTATCTCTGTGTCTTGCATGCTCTGTCCTTCTCCTGTATCTAATTATAGCACCAGTTCCTATTCACCCGCGTACGTCATATTAACACATGAACTCATATGTGGGTTAAACTGTAGCTCTCCGCTGACATCTTTTACACATTCAACAAATCTCTGAAAATGAAAACTGTACTGTTCTTGATTTTTACATGTTTTTTCAAGGATGGTGCAATATTACTTTGAAAACAAAATTATATAAAATCTATGTGTAAACACTGGCTTATTGTTTGACAATGTAAGCAATCACTCCTTTTATCACACTTGCACAGCAGTTCCTTTGTTGGCAGGACTTTATTCCTGCTTTATTATGGATTATGCCAGACTAGCATTTGGGGGAGGAGGAGGCATAAATGCACTGACTAGACTGAAGTATTGTGCCTGTTTACACCGATGCAATGGAAGAGGATTAATCATGGATTAGAGGAGTATGTAGTTGGTATGGAAATGGCAAGGAGGGTGCGAAGTAGAGTAGTAGAGCCTTCAATGATGGGATTTTCCAACATGTTTTTAATTTGCAAAACATATTTGCAAAGTAGTACAGACCTCACTTAATAGAACTGCTGATCGATATTCAGTGCATCATAAGTGACCCAGCTCTGTTGGCCTTTTGCATTATTGATCAGTCAAATGTTTCCTCAGTGTCTCATTTGCTTTTTTTTTTTTATGATTTTTCTTCCTATTTTTCCTTTGCAACCAAACAAACACCACAGATTATTCAGTTTCTAGCTATTTGGTTGACTTTGTGAGTGAAAGCATCTGGAACTTTGCAGAAGTATGTCTAAATATTCATATAATACAAATATTATCTAGCTCAAATGGAGATATGCCAGAATGTCAGCTGTAAAAACAAAGTTCACCTCTGATGAGTCAAGGAAAATCTGCCCGATGACACAGCCCAGAGACAAAAGAATAACATCAAAGGCCCAGCTCCATTAGTTCATTAGATCTAAGAGCCCGTGTTTCTTTTGGTGCGAGTGTGGCCGATAGATTAAACAGGATCTCACGAGCTAAGTTGATTACAAGGGATGATTAGTTCTTAGGTATGGCGAAGCGGTGCCAGAAGACAAGAGACAATGTGTGGAGCGCACCTGGAAACTCTGTCTCAAGCTGTCCTCTGTCTCCGTCCAAAACCTTCCTGGTGTTAGCCTTGTCCGATAGCGTGTGTTTATGCGAGAACGCGCCTAATAACAGACACGGTTAGGCAGCAGGCCTTTTTGTGTGAGCATGAAGGGGCGAAAACATCCGCTCCATATGTGGAGCAAGTTTAATAAACCTACAATGGTGAAATGAGCTCAACATGCTGCAGGCACATGCTGACTGTTTGAATTATGTCCCATCTATGTTTGCTCAAACATGCAGCTGCTATCTGAACCGCATACATGTGTGGTTTTGTTGTGACACGTAATGTTCATTTTTTGTTCACTTTTTCATATTACAGCCAAACAGTTGTGATTGTTATTAAGAATTTATTTCATAGGCCAACACAAAGCTGTAGGGATGCACCGATTCTGTTATTTTCACTTCCGATACCGATGCAGATATCTGAGGTTTAGTATCGACCGATTCAGTGCGATACAGAAAAACAGTGCTGAATTGACTTAAAATGTTTCTATTTTTAAAAAACAAAGACATAAGTGTACTGAATTACAAATTTATTTGACTACTCTCTAGCAGTGCAGCACACTTAGATACACCAATAGCTTCACAAACTTGGTCAAACATGTAAAAACAACTTTAATTTGTTCAGTCAGTGCAATAACAGCCAATGTGAAATAAATAATAAAGAAACTGAAATTGAAATGATTAAAAAAATGCAATTAGAAATTCTAAATATAAAGTAAAGTAAATAAATAATAAAGCATGATGTTGCTCAGAGCACATAGTATAGAATTAAATTGAATAGATCTGCCCTGATGCTCACATTGTCACCGATACCTGATGTAGGCTTTTTTTGATATCGGGACCGATACAGATATTGATACTACAGTATCTCTACGTAGTACATAATAGAGTCAGGGAAATTACACAAATAAAGCTCCTGTTTCCGCCATGTGTCACTTGAAGACAAGCAAGACATGGAGGTGGAAGAGTCATGCTGTGGGGATTCTTTTCATGAGCATGGCTAGGGAAAGTTTGTCATATTTTATAGCAGTGGTTCCCAAACTTTTTCTTCTGCGCCCCCCGCAGTGGTTTCCAAACATTTTCTGCGCCCCCCTCCCCCCCCCCTATGGATTACAAATGGCTGTCTGGTTGAAACGACGCATGTGAGGGGG